GTGTAGGGATGCAGGATGTGGAGAAGCTTGAAGGAAATATGCTGGTTTGGGTTGATGAGGTGCTCCTAGCAGCTCGTTTGTGGCCCATGTCAGACCATAAATACAGGCTCTTAAGCCTCCATCATCCTCTGAAACCCAGTCAGGAAATGTGCATGAGTCTGGGGAAAGACACTTGATAGGGCTCTTGCCAAAAAGCAGAGATGAACAGGTATGCCAAGGAGCTCTCCTGTCTGTGGTCTTAGAGGATTGTTCCTCCTCTGCAGCTTTCAGCACCAACGAACACGACAGAGATAACTGGAACGGGCAGCTGAAGCTGCTGCTGGAGTGGAACCAGTTGGACCTGGCCAGTGATGAGATCTTCACCAATGACCGAAACTGGGAGGTACAGACCACTCTGGGTACAGTGGCATGGGGCAGGGGAACAGTGGGAAGGGAGGCACTGGGACAATAACCATTATCTCAGCACCCCAGCCTCTGTGATAAGTGTGTCTGTTCCTCCTTGCACTGACATGACTGAGTGCAAAGCTGGTCTGCCTGTGCCACAGGGGCTCTAGGCCACCTCAGAAAATGCAACTGCACACAGAAAAACCCTCATTGTGATGAAAAAGTGGCACCTGAAGGACAATGCAGCAGTTAGTCATGTGTGCCAGCTCTTAGGGAATGGAACATCTCCCTGCTGAGGGAGCTGGGCCTGTTGGGCTTGGAGAAGAGGAGACTGAGGGGCCACCTCATCCATGGGCACAGATCTGTTCAGGGCAGTGTCAGGAGGGCAGAGCCAGGCTTTGTGCAGGGATGTCCAGTGACAGGACAAGGGGCAGTGGGTGCAAACTGGAGCCCAGGAGGTTCCATGTGAATCTCAGGAAGAACTTGTTTGCTGTGAGAGTGCCAGAGCCCTGGGCCAGGCTGCTCAGAGAGGCTGTGGAGTCTCCTTCTCTGGAGACATTCCAACCCCCCTGGGCACGTTCCTGTGTGATGTGCTCTGGGTGCCCCTGCTCTGGCAGGGGGGTTGGACTGGGTGAGCTTTCCAGGTCCCTTCCAACCCCTGGGATTCTATGATTCTAACCTTTTACATGTCTCACCTGCCCCCTAATATTTGCTTCTCCATTTCTTCCCAGTCTGCTGACCTGCAGGATGTCATGTTCACAGCCCTGGTGAAGGACAGGCCCAAGTTTGTCCGTCTCTTCCTGGAAAATGGGTTGAATCTGAGGAAGTTCCTCACCACAGAGGTTCTCAGAGAGCTGTACACGAATAACTTCAGCAGCCTGGTGTTCAAGAACCTGCAGATTGCAAAGAACTCCTACAATGATGCACTCCTCACCTTTGTCTGGAAGATGGTCGAAGACTTCCGAAGGGGCCTCAAGAGAGATGACAAAAATAGCAAGGATGAGATGGAGATACATCTTCCAGTAAGTGATGAGCACTTTGCTTCCCCTTAGAGGAACAACAAAGGTTGGTTTGTTCCTGGAGCAGCAGGATTGGCTTTCACAGTCTCAGCCTTGTGTTAGATTTAACATTCTGCCCCATTTTACAGATGCATTTAATAAGGGTCATTGAACTACAAGCAAAATGGGTAAGTTTATTTGGGTTCAAATATTTCTATTAGCACAATCAGTGCTCTAGTTGTGCGTGTCATTTAGATCAATATGAATTCAGGGTCTGGTCCAGAGGTGCCAGCAAGGTCTTGGGGAATCTGGATCCACATCTTGGGACAGACTCTTGGCCACAGGACAGCAGAGCCAATACACATGTGTGCTGTGAGGAGGTCAATGATCTGCTCAGCCTGGTGGTGGGGAGATGAAGGACTATCTGGGAATGTGAAAGGGAGATAATTGGTGGAGCCACAGCCTTCCATCCTTAAGGAGAAGGCAGCAGGTGGAGGCTCCAGAGAAGCAGAGGATCCCTCCTGTCACCACATCAAAGGAGGGGACTTGAGAGACAACTGGGGGGACTGGAAGCAGGTCCCCGTTGGGGCAGCAGGTTGGGGCCTCTCCTGGCCTTCTCCCAGAGTATCCAGTCTCCTGAGCTGGAAGATAAGGACAGAGAGCAGAACAACCCCCTCATAATCCAAGAGGAAGCAGTAATGACCTGCTAAGGCACTTGGACACTCACACATCCACGAGGCTGGATGGGATTCACCCGAGAACACTGGTGGAGCTGCCAGAGAAGCTTGCCAAGCCTCTCTCCATCATTTATCAGCAGTCCTGGGATATCCCAGAAGAGGGGAGGCTTGCCAGTGTGACACCAACCTACCAGAAGGGAACTACTGGCCTGTCAGCCTGACCTTGGCACTGGCCAAGCTAATGGAGAGTTTCATCTTGAGAGCATCCACAGCCAGGGGATCAGCTGGGATTCAGGAAGGGCAAGTCCTGCTTCACCAGCCTGATCTCTGTGTCCAGGTGACCTGCCTGGTGGAGGAGGGAGGGAAGAGCTGTTGATGTTGTCTATCTAGACTTCAGCAGAGCCCTCCAAGCTCTTTCCCACAGCATTCTAGGGAAGCTGGTGGCACATGGCATGGGCAGGGGTGTGCTTAGCTGGGTAGATAACTGGCTGGGTGGCTTAGCCCAAAGGGTTGTAGTGAAGAGAGTTGGATCCAGTTGGCTGGTTGACAGCCAGCTTATCATAAGCCAGCAGGGTGCTCAGATGGACATGCTTGGCCAACAGCATCCTGGCCTGCATCAGGAATAGTGTGGCCAGCAGGGAGTGGTCATTCCCCTGTATTCAGCACTGGTGAGACCAGCCCTCAAGTGCTGTGTTCAGTTCAAGGCCCCTCACTAGAAGGGCATTGAGTTGTTGGAGCATGTCCAGAGAAGAGCAACCAGGTAACCTAGGAGGAGGGGCTGAGGGATCTGGGGTTGATTCGTTTGGAGGAGTCTTATAGAAGATCTCATTGTCCCTACAGCTACCTGGAAGGAGGCTGGAGCAAGGCAGGCATTGGCCTTTTCTCCCAAGCAAATGACAGGGCTACAGGAAATGTTCTTGAGTTGTGCCAGGGGTGTTACCATCCCTGGAGATGTTCAAGACATGTGTAGACATGGCACTTCAGGGCATGGTGGGGTTTTTGTGGCTGTGTGTTGGTTCTGTGGGGTGAGTGGCTGTGTGGGGGTTGTTTTTCTTCTTGTTGCTGTTTGGGTGGGTCGTGTTGGGGTTTATTTTTGTACCCCACCCCAGGTGAATAGTAGGACTAGGTGATCTGAGAGGTCTTTTCCAGCTGTGATAATTCTGTGAAAATGCTGCTCAGCTTCCAGAGTTCCCAGCACAGTCTGTGATTCTTAAAAATGAGGTTGTTATGGAGTCATTTTGTGATGGGTTTGCCTTTCCCAGGTGCTAACTGCTCTGATGCCTGGTGGAACAGGAATTCCTCTTTAAGTTTGTGTGAATTCCAGAGTCTTGCTTTAACTCCCAAGGGTATTGGTGCAAAGTTCCTTTTAGAGGACATTGATCTGGGCTCTTTAAGCACAAAGTCAAGCTGTGAACGAGGCTGTTTGGACTGCATGGGTTCAAGCAAGGATGCTGGTTCTTCCACACCAAACAGGGAAGTACAAGGCTTTGATGTTAACATGAAATACCAACTAAATTCAATTAGTGTAACAAGTGTTGGATAGCAGGGATTAGTGGGCTGGCTGTGGAAGGAAGAAAATGCAAAACCAAGAGAGTGGCAGCCTAAGGATTCCTTCCACTTGAGAACAGTTTAGTGAGCTTAGAGCTCTGAGGAGTTGTTGCTGTGTCTTTCAGGATGAGTGTCCTATCACCAGGCATCCACTGCAAGCTCTGTTTATCTGGTCAGTTCTTCAGAACAAGAAGGAGTTGTCTAAAGTTATTTGGGAGCAGGTGAGTTGAATTCTCCTTTACTGCTCTGCAAGCAGCACAGTGGTGTCCTTGTCTTTGGTGTGTTGAACTTTGAAGGCTCTGGGTCTGTCTTCAGACACAAAACCAAGATCAGTCATTGCAACGTGACTGTGTAAGGACCTGGTTTGGGTTTCATACTTTGCTGATGCTGTGTGTGACTCAGCAGTCAGCCAGCACTTACCTGCTGTATGTTCTCATCTGGGTTGGAGCTTGGATGCTGAGTTCCCACCCATTCCTTACTATGAGTGTGTTCTGATACCAGGCATTTGATTGAAACCCAGTTCTGATTAGATTAGACAGTGCATCTAATGGTGATTGTATCAAATACATAATTCACAGGCTGATTCACAGGTAAACATGAGGCTAATGTAAGCAAAGCTAAGGGTGCTCCAGCTCACATTGGTCTTTGTGTCTGCCATGTCTGTGTGGGTGCATGTTGGTCTGCATGTCCAAAACAGGGTGCTGCTTCCCTGCATGTGTGGATGTTCTGAATAACATGGTTCTGGGTGGTTCTGGGTACACCCCACTGGTCCAGACTGGTGGACAGTGAAAATGGCAGTGTGGGTTGTGGCAGAGCAGACCCTCTGTTGTGAATCTCCAGCCAGAGATGCAAAGCTCATGTACAGCTGCTCAAGGCAAGACCTTTCCAGGCTGGTCACAAAGTTGTTGTCTCACCAATACACTGATGGTTACCAGTCATTTTGCTGAGCTGGATCTTCATTTGCCAGTCTGGACTGGGAGCTGAGCAGCTGCAAAAAAAACATCTGGTAATTTTTAAAGGTTTTTCTCACCCTCCCTTCTCAGAGGGCTTTGAGTGGCTGAACTCTCTCTCCACAGACCAGAGGCTGCACGTTGGCAGCCCTGGGGGCCAGCAAGCTCCTGAAGAGCCTGGCCAAGGTGAAGAATGATATCAATGCTGCTGGTGAGTCTGAGGAACTGGCTAATGAGTACGAGACAAGAGCAGTAGGTAAGTACTCCTACTTCACGAGGTGAAAACTGTTTAAAAACACTTTCTAGAAGGTGCCTGTGTCCCTCAGGCCTGATTATGTAGAGAAGTGAACAGGTCCCATTGAAGTCTATCTGTCAAGACTCCTCTCCATGTTGCAGTCTCTGTGGTAATACCCCAAAGCATTGCTGGATGTGTGCATCCTGGCAGTTGTAACAGCCCTCTGGGAAATGCCTGGGGAAACGTGCTGTTGGAGAGGAGAGTTTCTAGGGGAGGCTGCTGTGCTTTATGAGAGGCTGGCTCACTCTTCAGGGCAGTTGTGCTGTCACAGGTGCACCAACAGAACTGCCTTTGAGTGGCAAATATCCAGAGCTGGAGAGAGAAATGACTTTTCATACTACACACGTTATTAGTAGCAAAAAACTCTATGGGCAGAATAAGATGCTTGTTTTTCTGAAACAATGTTTGCAATGAATTTACCTGTGAAAAAGCATCAGATTCTGCCCTTGTCCAACTCTCCTGTTGACTGCTGTGACTGAGTTATTGCATCAGTGCTAAAAGTATGAGAAGAAGGTGAAACAAACTGATACCCTGAGTCATGTGAGTAAAAATTCAGATTTTTGCATCATTTCTTGTGCAGAACTCAATGTTTTCTCTGTGTCAGCTGCTGACTATGGTTTTCCTTCTACATGTAAACCCTGTATAATATATATAAATATAAATATCAGATTCTGCCCTTGTCCAACTCTCCTGTTGACTGCTGTGACTGAGTTATTGCATCAGTGCTAAAAGTATGAGAAGAAGGTGAAACAAACTGATACCCTGAGTCATGTGAGTAAAAATTCAGATTTTTGCATCATTTCTTGTGCAGAACTCAATGTTTTCTCTGTGTCAGCTGCTGTCATGCTATGGTTTTCCTTCTACATGTAAACCCTGTATAATATATATAAATATAAATATATATAAAACCTCAACAGGTGCAGATGGGTTTGTAAAGCAGCACACGTGTTGTTTGGACGTGCTGGAAACGTGGGCAGAGCCCTTGTACCTGTGTGCAAAAAGATGGAAAGGTTACACTTGGGATGTCACTGAAGGCACCCAAGGTGGTGGGAAGTGGAACCTGGAGTTGGAGCTCGAGGTGGGGCTGCCTCTTTCCTTCCAGAGCTGTTCACCGAGTGCTACAGCAGCGACGAGGAGCTGGCAGAGCAGCTGCTGACCTATTCCTGTGAAGCCTGGGGAGGGAGCAACTGTCTGGAGCTGGCAGTGGAAGCCAGAGACCAGCAGTTCATTGCCCAGCCAGGGGTGCAGGTAATGTCAGTGAAAAGAAGGTGCACAGCTCACTGTAGCTCTTGTGGTCTGGGCAGCTTAAAACCCCCACGATAATGTTCTGGCTGTGGAAATGTTACACACAGGGTGTGGGAGCCTCTACTTGAGAGGGGAGCTGGCTGGTTTGCCCACCAGTGCAAATTTAGGAGGGGAGGACTTGATTTAAGAGCTGCAAAGCATGAGCTGGGTGGTAAGGACTGCCTGGAGTGACTTCTCCCTTGGCACAGCTCCCTGTGTGCACAGTATGGATGTAGTGCCCCAATTAATGCTGCCTTTTAAACTGTGCCAAGTCCTGCTCATTTTGAGCTCCTGGTCATGTAGGCTGGAGAGTGGCTGGACTAAGGAACTAGCACAGTTTGCTGAGGAAAGCTTTCTGTATTGTTGAGACAGGAATCCCAGTTATTTTGATTGAAATGTCAAAGTCTGGGTGTTGGTGGTTTTTTTTCTGCTAAATCAAATGTCCTCTGATAGGATTCCTAGATTATTTTTGTTAAAACAGGATATTTTCTTCCCTGCAGAACTTCCTTTCCAAGCAGTGGTATGGAGAGATTTCAAGAGATACTAAGAACTGGAAGATTATACTGTGCCTGTTCTTTTTCCCTTTAATAGGCTGTGGCTTCATCTCATTCAGGTAATCAAATGGCTTCTCATTAGCAGAAGCAAAGCAAATCAATGAACCACAGAATCACAGGGTGATTCAAGTTGGGAGGCACCTCTGGAGATCACCCAGTCCAACCCTCTGCTCCAAGCAGGGTCAGCTGGAGCAGGTTACCCAGGACTGTGTCCAGCTGGGTTTTGAGTATCTCCAAGGATGGAGACTCCAAAGCCACTCTGGGGAACCTTTTTCCAGTGTTCAGTCTCTCTCAAAATTGTTTAAGGGCTGAATAAGCTTTTGGCAGGTGTGATCTGAAGGTTCCACTGGTGTGCCTGAAGTCAGTGGGTGCAGATTGTCATGACCTTGGGAGTAATGTATCATAGACTCATGGAATCATAGCATGTGTGGTGTTGGAAGGGACCTTTAAAGGACATCTACTCCTGCAGTGCACAGGGACCTTTTTAACTCAATCAGGTTGCTCAGAGCCTGGTGGAGCCTGGATGTCTCCAGGGATGGGGCCTCCACCCCTTCTCTGAGCAACCTGTTCCAATGCTTCACCACCCTCATTGGGAAGAACTTCCTAGTATCTAAATCTACCCTGCACTGGCCTTTGTCCTATCACTGCACATCCTTGTAAACAGCCCCTGGAAACAGGGGCTTGTAAACAGGCACTGGAAGCTGCTCTAAGGTCTCCCTGGAGCCTTCTCTTCTCCAGGCTGAACACTCCCAGTTCTCCCAGCCTGTGTTTGTAGCACTGCTGTGGTCCCTCCATTGCAGGAAGCCCCGTGTCCTGTGCCAGACCTTGCACATCATCACTTTGATGAAGAGCACGACTGTTTCCAGGCACAAGAGCTGTGCTTTGAGACCTTTCTCCTCCTCTGTTCCCTCAGGAAGAAGCCTGTGGAGAAGAGCAAGAAACTCTTGCTGTATTACGTGTCGTTCTTCACCTCCCCCTTTGTGGTCTTCTCCTGGAATGTCATCTTCTACATTGCCTTCCTGCTGCTCTTTGCCTACGTGCTGCTGATGGATTTCCAGAAGGAACCCACTGCCCTGGAGATATTCCTTTACGTCCTGGTCTTCATTCTGCTTTGTGATGAAGTGAGACAAGTAGGCAGCTCTTGCAAACCAGAAACGTTTAGTGCTAGATTAAAAGCCTGGTGCTTTTTCCCCTCCCAGTGGTGCAAGGCAGCACAGGCTGCTCTGAGTTACAGCCACATCTTGGGAGATCTGTCCAGGCAACTTAAGGCACAATGAGTGTATTTCCCCTCCCAGTGGGGGTGTTTAATTCCTACTTGTGCCCCAGTAGCTGCAGTGTCCATGCACTGAGAGAAGTGTGTATGTACTTTGGGGCTGGGTGGATAAGCTGATGCCAGTGGAGATAATCCTCAGGGGTGCTTGGCTTGGATTGCCAGAGGTTGGATTTAACACACATCTGGGCACATACCTCTAGATCAAGTAATTCTTGCCTCTCTTCTCCACATCCCCCCACCTTTTTAAACCAATGAGCAAGTTCTCATTATATATTTCTGTTGATCTTTTAATGATAAATACAGGTTTTGTTAGTTTTCTGTAGTCCCAGGGACCAGCTTTAGATTGCCTGCATTGCTGGTGTGGGAACTGTGGGTGGGACTGGCTGCAGAGCTGATGTTGTTCCCACTTCAGGTGTTAAGGGAAGAGATGAAATACATTGGTCTTCAGGCACCTGGGTCTCTACCAGTTAGTGTTCAAAATACTAGGAAGAGGCTGGGGAAATGGGAAGGGAAATGGGTGTGTGGTTTCTGTGCAGTGCTGCTCTCAGAGTCCTGCAAGGCATTAGTCTGCACAAGAGTGTGTGTGGGATCTGCTGGGTCAGGCCACCCTGCAAGAATGTTCCTTACATGAGCTCAAATGACATTGCTGAGTGTTGATGCTACTGTGCTTAACTTGCTGTGTGCTCTTCTTCCTTTGCAACAGTCAAGGTGCTTCCCTGTTTAAGGCAACTTCCCTTGCTGAGGAAAATGGGGTAAAGTAAAAGGCTCTGTTGCAATGAAAACACTAATGGAGTGTTTGTTTCTGCTGATTTAGGTTCTGGTGTCTCTGGACCTGTCCCTGCACTTCCTGTGTGTACCCAGCAAAAATCCTGGGGAAAGCCTTAGGGATAGAAACCCTTTTTTTTTTCTCTCAATGCCATTATTTCTCACTACCCTGAGCAGGTTAGAACAGATCCCAGGAATCCCATTCACAGCTGGTGGCAACGGGACCAATTTTGATGGTGAAAGTGGAGGCAGCTAAAAACAGAGAGTTTGTTGGAGATGTAAAGTCATCTTAAACCAGTGTCCTGGCTTCAAACCTGTTTTGCTCAGGAGCAAAATGCAGACCAGTGTCCCAGGGAACTTTCTGCCTGGCTTCCCCTGAGGTTGATTGGGTGTGCATTGGTCTGACTCTGAAGCCAAAGTAGTACCTGAGCCCTTCATGCATCAGGTTTTGGTTTTCCTGTCAAAGGAAAACTACAGGTAATGTTGCCTGGGGTTCCACTGCTGCAGTCAGATAACTTAATTCTGGGGAGGAATGAGCCCTTTGGTTAGTGTTGTGCCTGGGGAGATGGAAGCTCTAAATGTAAAGCAGATTGTTCCATTGTGTCTGAACCAAAAGCCACTGGCTTGGGCTCGTTTTCACTCCTGATGGTCCTAAGAGTTTTTTAACTAGCCAGAGCTCCTTCCTGACATCCCATTTAGGGCTGTCATGGCAGCAGTGAGATCGGAGATGCCTTTTTCCTGCTACCTTCTTAGCCACATGGGTGTAGCCTCCAGCCAGGTGAGTGGATGGACTCGTGGGCTGTGCAGGAAAGCCTCCTTTTCTCAGAAGGACCCTGGACAGAACCTCCATGCTCATGAACTCTTAGCCATGGGCACTACTTGGTATTTGAAGGACTGGTCTGCACTGCTAGCACAGTTGTTCTTACTTGCTTACATGCATCTGCCTGGTTTTTTTCCTGTTTGCTGGAGATCAAAACCTGGTTCCTTTCCTCCATCCACAGTTGTGCCCTTTAGTAGAAGAGGCATCAAGCTTAAGCCTGCTGCATTGAACACAGCTCAGGGTGGTGATGTGCTTTGTGAGAGGCTTTTGGGGCCCTCCTCATCCAGCTGTTGATGGAAAACACAAGAGAGCCAGACAACTTGTGTTTGATGGAGGGAGTTGCTAGACAGAAATGTGAGAAACCATTGTGGTGCCAATGCACAGGCCCACCCAGACCCTGCAGCAAAGCAGTTTATTTACATTCTTGCAGGAATGGGTGACCTGAACAAGCAGGCACACCCATAGGCAGGTGAATAACAGTTTCTATTCCCTATTCCCAAAGTTCCCTCCCCTGGTTCCCCACTCCCTGGGCACTCCAGGGTTTCCAGCCCATCCGACGCTTCCCATGATCCTGTAAGTTTCCCACCCCTGTTCACACATCCCATCCTAGCAGGTCACTTTTTACCTTTTCAGGTAAAATTCTGACCTTCCTTGCCCCCTTGGCTGCCTTCCCAATTCACAAACCTACTGGTGTCACCCTGCCCTGAGCAGCAGGACAGAAGGGGCTTTGTTGGGTCTGACCTTGGGCCATCAATCCTGCTCCATGTTGGGATCCCCAGGTGGAGCCCAATTCACTCCCTCAGGTTCTTGGGCCACAAACCCCTCCTGGTGTCCTTGGAATGTGCAGAGATCTGACTTATATCAAACAAACTATGTATTTAAACCACTGCTGGTGTCAGATATCTCACTTATATCAAACAAACTATAGAATTCTAACACTAGAATATATATATATATATATATATATACACCATATATATATATACATATAAATATAAACCAAACCCTACACTATGTTTCTAACACTAGAATGCCAAATCATCACTACATTTCTAACAGAAACAACCCAGTGTCACAGGTGCCAGACGTGCTGTCCTTGCTCAGTGCTCAACCTTTGGTACCTCAGATAGGAACTGAGCTGTTCCTTGGTCCCAAGATGCTGAAATAGTGTCTGGTAATATCTGGAGGCTGCCACCCTGTTCATCTTTAGCCAGCATGTGAGGAAAACCCAAGACTTGTGCAAACAGCCAAGTGGGGCTCTCTGCTCACAGCTTCCTCTGCAGGTGGAAGAAAACTCCCCTTCATCTCCAGTTCCCATAGGAGCACTGGGAGCAGAACTGCCTTCCTTGGCTGTGCAGTAAGGGAGGGAGTCCCTGGTCAGCACTCCACTCAGCTTTGGTTATTTCAGTGAAAATCAAAAAGAATCATGACGAGGGACTCGGTCTGTTTCTTTAGGCCTGTTGGAGGTTTCTCCTGGTTAACTTGTCCTAACGAGTCCCCTCTAATTAGATCCAGAAGGACGTTCTTGTGCAAACTCTGGATCCAGGGTGCAGCACCCCAGCCAGTCTGGGAATGGGCAGATCCCCACTAGGCTTGTGCTTCAGAAATAAGAGAGATTTGAGGGAACAAACTAAATCTGCATCTTTGATCAAAAGCAGGTGTGGTGGTTACTTGCTGCTCTGTTTTGCTTTCCAGTGGTACATGAATGGCAGTAAGTATTTCTCAGACCTGTGGAATGTTATGGATACACTAGCAATCTTCTACTTCATAGCAGGGATTGTGTTCAGGTGAGTGAATATCCTTTCCTGGGGCTTTGCTTCCTTTCTGGGTTTTGACCACAACCTGTAGCAAGATTTTGGAAACGGATGTGTTCCCCAATTTCCTTGCTCTTTATGAAGTGCCCCAGTGCTGCCAAGTCTTGACACTAAAGCTTTAAAAAGCAATTCAAGAAATGAAATACAGCAATAGGGGGAACATCTGCATGTAATCCTTTTCTCCCCAGCCAGTTCTACCAGCTGTCATCAGGTGGGAGTGGGCAGGGGGGGCATAGGGTCCTGCATAGCTGTGTTGTTTCCCAGTTACTTCCCACTCCCCACTTCAGTGTATTTTCACCTGACCTCCACATGCTTTACCCAACACTTCTCTTCATTTTCTCTTACTGTCTCCATCAGGCTTCACTCATCTGATGAAAGCTCTTGGTATTCTGGGAGAGTCATTTTCTGTTTGGACTACATAGTTTTTACTCTGAGGCTGATCCATATTTTCACAGTGAGCAGGAATCTAGGACCTAAAATTATTATGCTGCAGAGGATGGTAAGATTCTGGCAGCTTTTCAAGAATCTATGTGAATGCTGGGACACCTCACTTTTCCTCAAGAGTGAAAATCACTGCCATTCTGATGATGGCAGCAAGTTGTTTCTGTCTCTTCAACCTGCTAAACAGGTTTCATTAAGATTTAAATAGATCCAAATTAAGAGCAGGGCCTTTTTCTCTTCCTCTGTATAGGGGAAGTATGAAGATCAGGTTGAAGAACTGAGGAGGAAATTTGCTTCCTGGTAGCTTTTGTCCTAGAGTTTCCCATTGTTTCAGTGTATATTCCCTCAGTCCTGTTGCTTACATGAATGCTCCCCAAACAAGACAGTAACAATGAACTGGGGGAGAACTTCTATCTTCCACTGCATCTATCACACAAGGAACTGGATAAATTGGGTGGTGAGCAGCCTCTCGTGGAGTGGCCTGGCTGATTCTGCCCTTTGTAGCTGAATGTGATGCTTGATAGCAGGGAAAGGTAGAAGGAAGAGAATGGAATTCAATGTAATACAGAGATGGGCCACTACAGGTATGGGGATGAGGAGCATTGGAGAATGTCTGCTTGAATCTCCATGTCCCCTGGAGCTGATCTTCCCTCCAGGGACACCTCTACATGCTGGGGGGCATGTCTAGAGAGTGGCACTCAAAGGGCATGTGCAGTGAGTGCTGTTAGAGGGGTTTAGGAAGAGGTTTTCCCAAATTTTCTGCTTTTCTGTAGTGGTTGGGCTGTCTGGTGCCACAGCAGAGGATTGGCATAAAAACCAGCTGTGTAGTGACAGTGGCAGCTTACCCTGAAAGCCTTGTCCCACTGCTGCAAAGCCAAAGTCTAGACAGGACCTGGTCCTAGAGACCCTTAGGATTTGGGAGCAACAACACAGGATTGTTTGCTGTCCATCTCCTTTTGGCCTTCTGAGTTCCTGAGTAAGGATAATAGGGTGCTGGGGGCTAGTGGGAAGGCAGATCTTGGTGGAGGTGGGTCTGCAACAAGTGGGAAAGCTCAGCTGGGTTATTACCAGTCTTCAGTTACCTAAATATGAGGAGGCAGAAGTTAATGAAACTCTTGGCCAGTGTCTTCACTTCCCTGAGTGGGAATGGGTGATGATTTGTGTGTTGGAGACTGTGAATGTGCGGAGCCGTGATCTGCAAACCCACCTAATACCCAACTGGAGAGATGAAGAAGTTCTCTTGTCCTCTTCCAGATGATAGATGTCTTCTTCTTCCTCTTCCTCTTCGCTGTGTGGATGGTGGCCTTTGGTGTGGCCAGACAGGGCATCCTGAGGAAGAACGAGCACCGCTGGGAGTGGATATTTCGATCCGTCATCTACGAGCCCTACCTGGCCATGTTTGGCCACTACCCTGATGATGTGGATGGTACTTGTTCTGCTGTGGGAGGCTCTGCTGGGCGGGTGGGAGGCTCTGTCCATCCACTGGTTGCCTCAGCCCTCTGCCCCCGTTGCTCCAAGCAGCCACAAGGCAAGGTTTGCTGCCGGGTGGGGAGGTGGGAAGGAGCAGACCACACGTTTCGGGGTTGGTGGCAGCACCTGGGGCTGGAGCCAGAAGAAAGAGCTCACTGTTTGCTCTCCATTCTCACCCTCTGAGGTACCACCTACAACTTCGACCGCTGCACCTTTTCTGGGAATGAGTCCAAGCCCTTGTGTGTGGAGCTGGATGCCAACAACCAGCCCCGCTTCCCGGAGTGGATCACCATTCCCCTGGTCTGCATTTACATGCTCTCCACTAACATCCTCCTTGTGAACCTGCTTGTGGCCATGTTTGGGTAGGTAAAGGAGCCATCACTTGCTTGTGATCTCTGTTATCAGTATCCCAGTATTGAAGCCCTGGGAAAGAGCAGGACTCTGTGTCTTTTGCAGAGAAATTGCTGGGAATAGTCTGGGCAGAGTTCCTAGCTTGAAACAGACCCCTCAGGTTAAGGGTGGGGTGTGGGAAGGGGAACAAAATCAAGGCTCTTCAGCATTTAGAATAATAGAATCACAGAACCATTCAGGTTGGAAAAGCCCCTTGGGATCACCCAGTCCAACCATCATCCCTGCTCTACAAGGTTCTCCCCTAAACCATCTCCACCAACACCACATCCAAACAACCCTTAAACACACCCAGGGATGGTGACTCCACTACCTCCCTTGGCAGCCTGTTTGAGTTTCTAACCACTCCTGCTGTGAAAAAAACTGTCCTAATGCCCAGTCTAAACCTGCCCTGGTGCAGCTTGAAGCCCTTCCCTCTTGTCACTAATGACCTGTGAGAAGAGACCAGCACCAACCTCTCTACAATGACCTTTCAGGTGGTTGTAGAGACTGATGAGTCTCCCCTCAGCCTCCTCTTTCTCAATCTAAACATTCCCAGCTCCTTCAAGGGTTCTTCATCAGATTGATTCTCCAGGCCCTTCCCCAGCTCTGTTGCCTCCTCTGTCCTGGCTCCAGCACCTCCAGATCTCTCTGGAATGGAGGTGCCCAAACTGGACACACAACACTCAGGTGTGGCCTCCCCAGTGCTGAGCACAGGGGGACAATCACCTCTCCTTCAGCTGGTCACACCATTTCTAACACAGGCCAGGATGCCGTGGGCTTCCTTGTCCACCTGGGCACACACTGGCTCATGTTCAGCCCCTTGTCAATGAGCACCCCCAGGTCCTTTCCTGCCAGACCCTTTCCAGCCACACTTCCCCAAGCCTGGAGCATTCCCTGGGGTTGTTGTGGCCCAAGTGCAGGACCCAGCACTTGGCCTTGTTGAATCCCAGACCACTGACATCAGCCCAAGGATCTGATCTACCCAAGTCTCTCTGCAGAGCCTCCCTATCCCTTATCAAGATCATCAATGAAGGTGTTCCAGCTTATTTGTAACTTGAGGTTGTTGGTTTTTTCTATGGCCTTAGCTCCTCCCACGTTCAAATGTCTCTCTGAAGAGGAGAACAAGCTCAGTAACCTCCTGCTCAGTACAAACCACCAACTCCAGGATGCCTTGATGTAAACACACCTGTGGATAATGAAGATAAACACTGTGTGTGTTGGCTCTGGGGCAGGTCTGTGGTGGGTAACTAACACTGTAGGTGCTTTCTCTGCCTTCCCCTGTTAGTTACACTGTGGGATCAGTCCAGGAGAACAATGACCAGGTGTGGAAGTTCCAACGTTTCTTCTTGGTCCAAGAGTATTGCAGCCGCCTGACCATCCCCTTCCCCTTCGTCATCTTTGCCTACATCTTCATGGTGATGAGGAAATGCTTCAAATGCTGCTGTAGGAAAGAAAGCAAAGAGCCATCTATTTGCTGTAAGTAGGATTTATTCCTGGCTGCCTGCAGGTCAGCTCTGGGGGAGGTGCCTTGCAGCTTTTCCCTGGGCTTCAAGCAGGCAGTGTGTGGGGAGATTTTTCAAGGGTAATGTAGACCCAGGAAGAGGTGGTTGTGCTGGAAATGAGGAACAGCTCATTCATGGTCTTCATCAAGTGCTGGAAACCCCTTTGATAAGGTTCAAATCCAAGAGCCCAGCTGCTTCTCACCCATCATTTTCCTTCAGTACTCTGGGTGTGCTCCCTCTAGGATATGAGGAATTACACTCCCAACTCCTCATGCTGGAGCTCCAGTGACTGTTGTTGTGATTCCCCACCCTGCAATAACTTTGGTTTTGGTCTGGTGAGGGAGCTGTTGTGTTCTACCAAGTTCCATCTGCTCCACTGCAGAATTGTGCAGTCATGTAGTGCTTTCTTGTCCAAGCCATTTTGGAGGCAGAATTACCTCATGGATGTAAATCAAGTCATCAAATTAATTCTATCAGTTTAGGGCTCCCTATGCTGCTTCCTAGCTTTGAAAGTATTTTGGGGGGGTTAGAACATTGCCTAAATTCATCCAGAGCCTGCAGCAGCTGAGTGCCACCTTCATGCTCTGCATGAAAAATGCAAACTGTCCCATTCCTCCTTAGCACCTGGTGGTGCCTCCCTCCTGCCCTGCTCCCCAGGGGCAGAGATCCCTGGTCTTGCAAGCTCAGAATGATTGGGTAGCTTGTACAAGAGGTTGGTCTTCATCTCTGCTTGCTACTCAGGAATAGTTTCTCAGTCTCCCAGCTAAGACAGGCAGTAGCTGCCAGGGCTTCAGAGGCTCCTCTCCCTGCTGGAGAGGGATGGTCAGAGAATGCAGAGTCCCCTGTTCCTCTGGATGTGGCCAAATAGACAACCTGGCTCAGACATGGAGGAGTCAGCCCTCTAGCTATTTCCCCCTTATTTACTCTGTCAGAGGGCACAGACATGAATTGCTTTAACAATCTTGTTTCCCCCAACAAATGGGGTGTTTTCTCTCTTTTTCTGAAGCAGATGAGAGAGGGTAGGTTGAGTTAATTGACAGAATTATTCCCATCCATCAGCAGCCTGCAGCCTGGATTTGTTATTAGTTTAGGAGAAAGGTCCCTGCTCTGGGGTATAAAATTCCTTAGAACTAACTAAATAATTTTGGCTGACAAGTCACTGCTTGGTTTCCTTACTGGGGAGGCTGTTTAACAGCAGATCTTTCTGCCCAAGTGGTGCACAGTGGATGTTGCCATTCTAAAAAGCAACTGGCAGGATTAATTAGGGCCAGAGTATCATTGTGGTTGAGCTGGTGACAGGAACAGCACTGCATGGAGAAAGCAAACCAGTGTATTAACTACTGCAGAGCTCTGGCTTCCTCACCTGACTCCTACAGAAATGTTGCTGAAATGCTTCTCAGTACCTGGAAGAAGAAGCACTGGGGGAGGAAATAGGACTTTAGTCATTTGTCCACTGTGGGCTTCTTTCAGCTCTGCTAATTGATTTATTTATTTTAAATTAAAACCCTTGTGGTCTGTGCTGCCTGGCTGGAGCAGGAGAAAATGCAGGAGCAGGATCCTGGAGGGCTTTGATGCCTCCAAGTGGTTTGCTCTGTGTCACTCTGATTTGCAGCAGGGACAGGAGAGGTGCCTTTTAGAGGAGATAATGCTTCACCATTTTTAAATGGGTTAGTTCAATGCTAAGTCCTGCAACGTGGTGATGAACACGTGTTATTCCTAGTGATCCAACACAGGGTTATGCAGCTTAACCCCAGAGATGAACCATCTGCAATGTCCTACACCTGTTGAAGGGGCTGCTATTTCCCACAGCACTTGCCTTTTAGTCTTAACCAAGACTAAAAACAAATAATCCAGAAAGACTTCTGGAGTTTGTTGGGGTGTTTTGGTTGGTTGGTTAGTTTTTTTAACCAACCCTGGTTGAGAGGAGCATCCATTGAGATGGTGTCTGTTAATCAGGGCTGTGTCACGGGTGGGAAGTGGGGCTGCAAATGAAGCAGGGGCAGGAATCAGTAGCCTCTGAACACAAGCACTAACCCAGCCTCTTGGCATCTTAGCAATGGGAAGGCAAATTAACCCAATCCAGTGCTGGTGTTTTTCTTCACATACGTTTTCCAGGCTCGAAAAATGAGGACAATGAAATTCTGGCATGGGAAGCTGTCATGAAGGAAAATTACCTTGTCAAAGTCAACACCAAGGCACATGATTCATCAGAAGAGTAAGTCTGTCCTTTGTCTTCCCTCTCTTGACTTTCTGCTGAGTATTTGTGGTGAAACCAAGTTTTCAGCAGCTCTAATTGTTTTACAAGCCAACAAGTAGTTAAATAAACTCAGCTTACAGGTGCTTTTTTATACTGGAAGTGAAATGATGGCTGGATTTTTTTGCCAGCTGCTGCAGGCTCTCTTTAGGAATAGTTGATTGGGTTGGTTAGAAGCTACTGGCAACTTCACAAGGGTTGTAATGGTACCTCATGCACACAGGAGTTGGGTAGATGTGTGAAATGTCCTTGTTCCAAGTGCCCTGCTGTCCTGAGGCTCCTGTGCCTTCCCCCAGGGCTGGAGGGGTTTGGGAATGACCCCCAGGGCTGGAGGGGCTTGGGAATGACCCCCAGGCTGGAGGGGTTTGGGAATGACCCCCAGGCTGGAGGGGCTTGGGAATGACCCCCAGGGCTGGAGGGGCTTGGGAATGACCCCCAGGCTGGAGGGGTTTGGGAATGACCCCCAGGGCTGGAGGGGTTTGGGAATGACCCCCAGGGCTGGAGGGGCTTGGGAATTGCCCCCAGGGCTGGAGGGGTTTGGGAATGACCCCCAGGCTGGAGGGGCTTGGGAATGACCCTCAGGCTGGAGGGGTTTGGGAACGACACACTTGTGTCCAGAGCCAAGGGGAACATCCATGTGGGGAAGAAGAACCTTTTCCCACACAGGGTTTCTCAAATGACACCACTTTTCTGAACTTGAGCCTTTCTATTTGAGAGGGAGGTTGGTACTAAATGATCTCTAAGGTCCCTTCCAACTCACAGCATCCTATGGTTTATTCTGTGATTCTGTTTTGCCACTGGAGGAGAAAATGCTGCCTTCCTGTAGTGTTTTGAGGTCTCATCATGGGAAGCAGTGCTGTAGCTGACTGGCTTTGTAACATGGTCCAGTTAGCATATAATATTCAGTGTTAGACCTGGAATATCAAGCATTCCCAAGGCATCAGTCTGTGTAGACACGTGTATATAGTAGCATGAGTAGGAAAGACCTCTGGAGAGGGGAACATGCTATTTGGAATGGTGGTGTTGGAGGGTTGGTGGCTGGAACTGCTCTTCTGTAACTGCCAGATCCTGGCACTTCACCTTTGGGATCTGCCTCAGGGTTTTCAGGGTGATAATTGAAGAGGGAAGTAAGAAGAAAGCCAGCAGACCCAGCTAGCTGCTGGGAATGGTGGTGTGAGTTTGCAGTCAGCTTCCAGCAGCTCCAGTACTTCCCTAAATCACAGGTAAGGGAAGAGCTGATAAGAATGGATTGCAAAAAGGCCCCAAGTTTCTCTCAGGCCAGAGGTGAGGACTAGGTCTCTTAGCTCCAGCCAGGGTTCTGCTGCCCAGGTTTGCAAAGAGAGGGTGGTTAAGCCAGGATGCTGGTCTCAGTCCTCTCTTCTGTGTCCTCTGTGTTTTTAGGATACTGCATCGATTCAGACAACTGGATGCAAAGGTGGGTGTGTTTCAGGCTGCTCTGGGGAGGTGCTTCTGTCTGGTGAAGCAGGGAGTGGCTCACAAGGACAATGGGCATCCCTGAGAGCCACATGCAGGCTTTGGTCCTATTGCCAGGACCCCCTTTTAGTTGGGCTTTTTAAATGTGCTCCTTTGATTCCCTTTGTGCTGGAAAATGAAGCAGAAAGGAACTTGCTTAGCATTGAAGTGTTTCCCAATATTCCTTCTTGGATGGACTAGAAGGGAAACTGATTTAAGAGTACACACTTCTCAAACACATGTTCTGTCCAACTTAGGTTCTAGTGCTGAAGGCAGGATTGGGAATGACCCCCAGGGCTGGAGGGGTTTGGGAATGACCCCCAGGCTGGAGGGGCTTGGGAATGACCCTCAGGCTGGAGGGGTTTGGGAACGACACACTTGTGTCCAGAGCCAAGGGAAACATCCATGTGGGGAAGAAGAACCTTTTCCCACACAGGGTTTCTCAAATGACACCACTTTTCTGAACTTGAGCCTTTCTATTTGAGAGGGAGGTTGGTACTAAATGATCTCTAAGGTCCCTTCCAACTCACAGCATCCTATGGTTTATTCTGTGATTCTGTTTTGCCACTGGAGGAGAAAATGCTGCCTTCCTGTAGTGTTTTGAGGTCTCATCATGGGAAGCAGTGCTGTAGCTGACTGGCTTTGTAACATGGTCCAGTTAGCATATAATATTCAGTGTTAGACCTGGAATATCAAGCATTCCCAAGGCATCAGTCTGTGTAGACACGTGTATATAGTAGCATGAGTAGGAAAGACCTCTGGAGAGGGGAACATGCTATTTGGAATGGTGGTGTTGGAGGGTTGGTGGCTGGAACTGCTCTTCTGTAACTGCCAGATCCTGGCACTTCACCTTTGGGATCTGCCTCAGGGTTTTCAGGGTGATAATTGAAGAGGGAAGTAAGAAGAAAGCCAGCAGACCCAGCTAGCTGCTGGGAATGGTGGTGTGAGTTTGCAGTCAGCTTCCAGCAGCTCCAGTACTTCCCTAAATCACAGGTAAGGGAAGAGCTGATAAGAATGGATTGCAAAAAGGCCCCAAGTTTCTCTCAGGCCAGAGGTGAGGACTAGGTCTCTTAGCTCCAGCCAGGGTTCTGCTGCCCAGGTTTGCAAAGAGAGGGTGGTTAAGCCAGGATGCTGGTCTCAGTCCTCTCTTCTGTGTCCTCTGTGTTTTTAGGATACTGCATCGATTCAGACAACTGGATGCAAAGGTGGGTGTGTTTCAGGCTGCTCTGGGGAGGTGCTTCTGTCTGGTGAAGCAGGGAGTGGCTCACAAGGACAATGGGCATCCCTGAGAGCCACATGCAGGCTTTGGTCCTATTGCCAGGACCCCCTTTTAGTTGGGCTTTTTTAATGTGCTCCTTTGATTCCCTTTGTGCTGGAAAATGAAGCAGAAAGGAACTTGCTTAGCATTGAAGTGTTTCCCAATATTCCTTCTTGGATGGACTAGAAGGGAAACTGATTTAAGAGTACACACTTCTCAAACACATGTTCTGTCCAACTTAGGTTCTAGTGCTGAAGGCAGGAGGTAATTAATCCTGATTTATTGGGTTTTGTTTCACTTCTGCTTCTAAAATGAAATGGCAGTTCAGGTAGGTTGTGGGGAGCCTTCAGGTAGAAGAGGCAACCCCCCCTGGGTAAGCAAAGGATGCTCCATACAAATGCACAAGGGGTGTTTTTGGAGGCTTGATTGATTTATGTCTTTTTACCTCTGGTGTGGGGAGTTGCTTTGGTGTGAAGAACAGACTTTTTAGAAGTCCAAGTGTGAAAAGGCCCCACATTTACTTCAAAATGCTGCTTCTGGTTGCTGCTAAATTAATTAGATTACAAAATAACAGCTTGCTTTCCAGAGAGAAAGGTACAGCTACCAAGTATGTCTTGTAATCCTCCTCTGGAAACTGAAACACCATAGAATAACCTTAATTCTCTGCTGGCAGGTAATCCCCAAATCCTCTCTCTGTGAGGAAACACTTGCAGCAAGCTGGTTTGTCTGCTCCTGCCTGCAGCTTTCCTAGCAAAATGCCCTTCCTTTCCCTTCATCCCAGGCTGCAATCATCTGTTGGGATGAGTCAGGTTGACTTTATAGAAGCTTCTTTTTCTGTTTTGTTTTTATTTTCTTTCAATTCTTCAGCTCTCTGATTTGAAAGGCCTTCTGAAAGAGATTTCCAGCAAAATCAAATGAATGCAGCTGAGATCCAAGAGCAGCTACCTGAGCAGGGTAAGCCCCTCTCTACATCCATTCACTGTCTGGAAGGAGTTTTCAGCATCTGTGATGTTAGGTTGGTTTGTCTTGGGAAGAGGAGGTTGTATTAATTACTCATGCCTGATTACTGATGTCAGTCTTGTCTAATGTTTGAAAAGAAATAACAGCTAAATTCTCTTCTTCATTTGTTGTTTTGTTGTTGTTGTTTTTTGTTGGTTGTGTTTTTTTTTTCCCTGAAAATATAATTTTCCATCTGATGTTTCTGGCAGTTTTTTGGCACAGTTTAAAATATCTTATTTTGCCCCCTTGCCTTTGGAAAACTGAGAAAACCCAAGGAGTTTGTCTTTGTGCTGGATGCCCCCTGGAAACTGAGGAGCTGCTGTGCTGGATCCTTTATCTTGAAAATTTTTTAACTCTGAAGAACATAAAAACCAAATAGTAAAGAGAGTTCTGGGTAGGGATAAGGTTCATTTTCCCCCTGTCAAAGGAGGGTGTTGTGATGGGTCACTGCAGCCATCCTGGGTCCTCTGGGCTAAACTGCAGAGTGAAGAGTTTAACCCAAAGTCCCCAGAGCTGCAGTTCAGTGTCTGGTCATCAGCTCTGTGTCCTTTTCATCAAGTTCTGCAGAAGAACTGGGCTGGTGACACAGGTCCCAGTGGAATGGGAAAGGCAGGCAGAACATCAGTGGGTGCAGGGAGCTCTGTCATGGGTACAGACAGTAGGCTAGGAAGAGTCACTGTTGATGAGGATAATCTGGAATGATTTAATCAGCCTGATCAGCTCCTCCTAAAGATCTTTTTTCCTGCAATACAGGTTATACCTGTGCTAGATGTTCCTGAGGCAGCTGTCTAACCATTTTTCAGGGATAACTTCATATTCACTTGAACTGAAGCTCAGTGTAATTATGAATGACTTGCAGCCACCTAATAAAATCCACAAGGATCTCCAGTTACTGGGCAATTTTCCTGGGTGCAGTAACCTCCAAGTCACCAAGAGATAGGCTGTAGAATAGTGGAACTCTGGAGGTCATCTTGTCCAACCCTGCTTAGATTAAACATCACTGCAGTTTTGCTGAAAAGAGGTTGCAATTCAGTAAGAACCAGTGCAAATGTCACAGTCACCTGGGAATGATGGGCTGCATGGGCACAGAGTGGAGGCAGATCTGAGGAGGCAGCAGCTCTGCAGAAAAATGCCTGAAATGGACCATGAAATAGCTGTTGTTTCATGGTCTGTGAGGTGCAAGGAGTAATAATCCCTCCAGTGCAGGAGGAAAGTCCTAACAAACCATCTGTAGAGAGGAGTGAGGGAATTGTGGTTAGATAGGCTGGGAAAGGAGACACCTGTTTATGATGGAGCTCCTGGAAATGTCCTCTCATTATAGATGATAAGTGCCTTGAGAAGATGGGGGCCCTTCCAGTTTGTCTGGTAAACTCCCATGTTCTGGGTGGGTGCTGCAAAGAGCTCCTTGCTCCCAAATGTTGCTCAGGACATCCAGGTTCCAAGCTGATGTCATGAGGATGGAAGCAAAATGCTCAGGTGGGCCAGGAGCTCTGCTCTGAAGTTGCTTTCTTTTGCTCACACAGGTACCAATTCATCAAGAACAATTATCTGAGCTGGCAGTGACCACCAAGCAAATGGTAACTGACCCCCCAGAGTGTCACCCTTGCAGCAGGAGTCATGAGGATTTTCTTTAGTTTCTAGGTTTTTTTTGAGAAAACAGCCCTTTCTGCTTGTTGCAAGAAGATGGCAAAACGTTAAGATGACTGTTTATCTCCTGGCAGGACTCCCCACATTCCTCAAGCTCTGATTTCCTCATCTCCCTTGATGTCCAGTGCCAGCAATCAGCCCTTGTCAGCTGCTGTCAACAAACACTCCTAATTGCAAGAGTCCTGCTCTTGCTGCCAAAGTCCCTTTGCTTTTTTGGGTTTCATTGGGCCAATAATTGCTTGTCTTAACGAATTCATCTCCCTTCCCTCTCCTTTGTGTAGGAGCCAGATGTAGCTTGGTGCTTGCATGGTCTGTCTGTCAGCCCTGCTGGTGTCTGTAGTGCTTGTGTGCCAGAGTACAGTGTATTTCAGCATCATGCCCCAGAGGAGCCTTTGCTCCCACATCTCAGACTCCACCTGGACACTGTGGACTTTCCTCTCTGCCTGGAACTGTGCTCAGCTACTACAACTCAGCATGGGAAGGATTTAATTCATCTGGGAAGTGTTTCCAGGGACCTCACATGCAGTCCCTGCTTGTTCCTTGAGTGCACTTGGAGCATTTCAACGTGTTTAACTCCTTGAACCATCTGTTTGCAGATGTCTGTGCTTAGAAATGGAGAAGAGGTTGTTTGTCAGCTTTCAGTATTGTGATGCTTGCTGTGGTGAGGTTGCTCTTCCTGCTCCCTTTCTAAAATAGCAGCTGAATTTTGTGTGGGCATAACTGGGTGCATTGCCCTCTGAAGGGAAAACACCACAAATGGCATTTGCTTCCCTGGTTAAGAATTGTACCTGCCTCCTTCCCCAGTGTCTAGGAAGGACCTCCCAAGGTGTTTGATCTTGAGGATGGAGGTGTTTTCCTTTTGCTGGCAAGGGCTTTCATAGTCCCTGCTCTTGCAGCTGCTCTGGGGGCTGCCAGGCACAAGATGTGGGGGCTCCAGAGCAGCAGGTCAGTCAGCAGAGGGTTTTGGCTAAAGCAGAACAGTCCCCAGGTGAGCAGTGTGAGCAGAGGCACCTGCTGCCAGGCTGGAGAGCAGACCAGCATCTCCCAGCCCATCTCTGCTGGGAAAACAGGCTGGTGAAGACCAGACTCTGCTGTGTGTTTTGCTGGTTGCTTCAGAAGCTGCTGAACAAGGGGGATGTTCCTGCTTTAGGGAGCAGCTCCAGGGCTGGGGCCAGCCCAGCTGAGCAGTGTCTGCCAGAGCTGCTGCTCAGCCTGTGTGGCTGGGAATGGGACAGTTCTACAGGGAAAACTGATGAGGCCTTGTCAGAAAGGTGACTTCTCTTTTCTTGCTGCTTCACACCACCCAACTTGCCTGCCTGCCCTGCTTACCAATAGCAGCCCTGCTTGTTTACATGAGGAAATACTTGTGTTTTCCTATTAAAAAGCTGAAATAAGACTCAGGCTTCAGTTGACTTCTGTGGCTGTTACCTTGTATCATCAATTATTGAGATAAATGTCCTTTCTAGAAATATATATATTTTTTTTTTCCTGTGCCATTTGTATGCTCTGAATGTGAAAACTGTGCTTTCAGTCTATTCCTTCCATGTATAAAACCTGCAGTGCACCTGCCAGCATCTCTGGTGATCTGTTCTCTTAGGGTGACTGTGTGGCTTTGAACCATGTGCTGAAAACCCCAAAGCCCAGAGCCTGCCCCTCCCAGCTGCTCCAGCCCATCACACACATTCCCTCCAGGCTCCTCTCCCATCCTGAGCCCAGGGGTCCAATGGAGCAGGGTGGCCCTGCAGCACCCCAGGGAGCAGCCAGCTCTCTGCTCCCTCCAAACCTGGCACCAGCTGTTGTGGGTGTCAGGGCTGGGGGAGGACAGTCCTGGGTGTTGGGCAGGGTCTGTGCCAACCCTTCCCTCCATCCCCTCTCCATCCATTGCTCTCCAGCTGGCAAGGGAACAGCAGCAGAGCAGGTGAGTACCTGGAGCAATCCCTGCAGAGCCCCCAGGTGTCCCTGCAAGAGGCAACCATCAGGTTCATTGGTGACCCCTCCTTCCCCCTGGGGGTCCCTCGAGGCTGCTTGAGGAGCCCCGAGTGCCTGATGGGGCTGGGGAGGGTCCCACTCCTTGTGCAGACTCAGGGTGGTGTGGGCAGAGCAGAGGGAGGTTTCAGGTATTGGTGGTCTTGTTGGTCCCTGCTCCCTCCTGGCCATGGGAAGAGCTGGGTGGGGTGGCCCTGGCAAGAGGGGTTCCTGGGGTCCCCTGCAGATTCAGGCTGTGGAGATGGGGAGAACATGTTCTCTGGGGGCTTGTGGGACCCAGGGTATCACTTCCCTGTTCTTCCTCACAGGTACCAACCAGCAGTAGGTACGAAGCCTTGGCAGGGGACAAACCAGTGGGTGAGTTCACTGGGAGAAACTGCCCCAGCAACTATGACCTGAAAGCTGCAAAAGGAAGAAGCCTGTCACAAGCCAGGTCTCCTGGGGTCCCTGGTGCTGTTCAACATCCTGCAGGAATGGATTAAAAGCAGCTTCACCAACTCTGCTGGTGCCACCAGACTGGTTGTTGAGGTGAACGTGTGAGAAGGGGGCAAGACCTGGGCAGGCTGGGAGGGTGGGGAGGCAAGAACACAATGAAGCTGAACAAAGACAAGTGCAAAAGCCTGATGCCTGGGACAGAACAACCAAGGATCAGTGCAGCTGGGGAGCAGCCTGGCTGGAAGGGACCTGAGCCAGCAGGGAGATGCAGGATCCTGGGCTGCATCCACAGCAACACCCCTGGCTGGGACAGCTGCCTGATCATCCCACCCTGCTCAGCACTTGTCAGACCTGGGGCACTGGATCCAGTTCTGGTCCTGCCAATTCAAGAATCCCAGCTCCTTCATAAGCTGCAGTCAGAAATCAAATTAAATGAGACCAGAAGGAGGGGACCTTTCTCATCTGTCTTTGGACATCACTGCAAAACAGTTGAAGGTGCAACTGCTGCTTCCTCCTCCACCAGTATGTGGGGCTTGTCAACACCAGGTTGTGCTCCATTGTCCAAAGCCTGCTCAGAGCAAGCAAGAAAAGTGATGTATGCACAGCAGAGAGTCCTGGCTATTGCTTTAAAAAGCATCCTGTGGGGACAGGGACCTGCTGTCTCACTGAGAACAGGCTGGTTTGGCTCTGGTGAGTGGAAGCAGGAGCTCAGAGCTGTGAGGGCAGCAGGCAGCTTGTGTTTGCAGCAGGCCTGGGGCTTTGCTTCTGAACCTGCACCTGAAAACACACTTGAGGAAGGAAGAGCTGGAGTGGCTGTTCTGAAGGGACTGTGACTAATTCCCTCTTGCCAGGGTTTCTTAAGCATGTGTTTGTTTTCTGCAAGAAAGCCACTAATTTGGGTAGTTCCCTTTGGAGAACATCCTGCTTGGATTTCTGCTTTTTGCTGGTCATGGATCTTGATGCCTCTGAAATTACAAAAGTACCCTCAGTTTCTTTCTGGAAAGATTGTCATTGGAAAAAAAAAACCACTTAAAAAGTCATGATCTGTGTTCTTCTGAGCACACACTTTGTCAGGGCTTGGAGCCAGGAACAACCCTTCTGTGTTGGGTTACCCTGATGCTGAGGCTGAAATAGCATTAAAGGGAAATGCTGATAGTGGGACTGAGTGCCAGGAGGGCTGAGCCTCCAGCAGCAGTGCAAGCCACTCACCAGGGACAGGGTTTGTGACCTGGTGGCTGCACTTGGCATCTGGTGGCTCCAGAAGTGGGAGGTGAATATTTTAAAGCCTGGTTTCACTGAGGGTTTCAAGTGCTACCAGGGCTTGGTTTGACTGGGGGTTGCAAGGAGCTTTCACTAAGCATGCACAAGGATGTAACAGCTGAACTGTCTGAGAATGTGTCCTAGGAAGAGGGAGAAAACCTTGAAAATTATCAACATGGTCAGCAAAACTTTTTAAAAAAATCAAAAGACTAATAGCTTTGGCTTTCAGGTAACAATCCTTGCATCTGGAAGGAATGTTTGCCTTGCATCAGAGTCGTGCCAGTGACCCCATAAGAGCTATCACTGCTGACCTAGCAGGCCCAGGAAAGATAAATATTTAAAGTTTCAAATGCTTAAAGTAATGAAGTGAGGCCTCTGAGATGCTGCTGCAGCCTGTGGTGTTTTGGTGCAGCGATCCAGTGTGTGTTCCTGAGGTTTTGTTTGCTGTGATGGGTGCTTTCTGTTGCCTCACTCTCAAAGTCCACTGCCAGCAGCAGCAGTAGAAGCTGTGCAGGCTTAGGTTGTGTCCATGAGACCAGCAGGTCATGGAGCACCTCAGGGTGAGTGCTGAGGGGTGAGGCTCTGCCTCTGTGCCCTTGCTGAAGTGTTGCCTCTAAGCTTTGGAAAACAAGGCAGCAGTCCCTGTGGGCTTCACTGCTGACACGGAACGACTCGGTGGGATCTCCTGGAGCCCCAGCAAACCCTGCAGATGTGAAACTGCCAATCTCAGACTCGTGACATGCAGCTGGTTCCATCCCTGTGGGGGTGGGAAGCTGGGGTGTCACTGTGTTCACCTGCCTTCCCTCTCCTTTGCATCCCCAAATCTGCCAGTGTTGGAGCAGAAAGTGTGTGGGGCTGAGAAATGCAGCCAGCCTGGCAGGGGACACCATCTCGTGAGGGCAAGTAGAGAAAACTGGAAGAACAAAGACTTAATTCTCCATCTCAGGTGCTCCAGGGCTGGGGAAGTTTCAGCAGTGTCCCCTCTGGTTGTACAACCAGCCTCTGGGTTCTCAAGGGACGTGCAGACAAGAGAATCAGTCTCTGCTGGTGGGTGGGCAGGTCTTAAAGCCTCTCTGAGTCTGAGTTACTTGTCCACAGAGGAGAACTCCTTTGGTTTTGCCAAAGACATCCTGGGAGAGCTGGGGTGTCCCAGGGGTCTGCCCAGGAGGCTTCTGTTGGATGCCTTGGCCTGCAGGGTGGTGGTGTCAGACAGGTCCACAGGGGTGGATTCCCATTCCATGCTGGGAAACTGTCCCCTCCTTGGGGAATAAGCAGCTTGTGAGTCCTTCCCATTGCTGGCTGAGACACCAGGGTGCTTGGTCTAGTGCTGAGGGAAGAGTTGATTTCACAGCGTGGAGAACTAATGGCTAAAAGTCAACAAAAGATTCTGCCTTTGGCAATGGAGGTATCAGGATCTCAGTGTTCCCTTTCAGCTGCAGCCCTGGGAAGAAGACACTGTGGCCCATCTCTTATCAGGGAGCTACAGCTAAATGGAGAAAAGCTGGCAGCAAATATTTGCTCTCTGATCAATTCTGTTTAAAGTGCAGTGGCTGTGGCAGAGCTTGGACACAGGACAGTCAGGTGTAGGATCAAGGCTGCATTTATATAAAGACTGAGGGAACGTGTGCTGGGAACTCATGCTTGGAAAGGGAAAGGACCAGAGGATTTGTAAGTCACACTATGAGGACCTTAATTTTTGTCCTCACGTTGGGGACTTTCTCCTGTTCAGGTGAGTTGCTCTGAATGGAACCACATCCTCCTCCTTAATGGTGGCTTTGGAAGGAAAAGTCACCACAGTGACCTTCTCATGGCCTGTGTGTCTGTCCCAGGGCTCCCAGTGTATGACTACGAGCTCCCAGTCACAGAAGAGGCTCTGAATGCTTCCCTTGCAAGGATCAACTCCCAGTCATGGGGGACAAACCTGTATGGTGTTGTGGGGAGCCGTGTCACAAGGGTAAGTGTGCAGATGGGGAGATTCTGCTCCTGAAATGTGCCTGGCCATGGTGGGAAACTTTTTCCACCCAAGCCTGCAAACCCAGATGGAGTTGCAGTTTTCCAGTGTTGCTTGGAAGAAGTTGAAGTTTGGGGCATTATCTGAAGAGCCCTAACTACTTTTGGGAACCTAACTTAAGGAACCTAAGAGGTTTAGGAACCCAATTACTAGCTTAGGTTCCTATTACCTAGTAGGGACTATTAGCTTTAGGAACCTAACTATTCTTTTTATGCTGATTTGTAATTAAAAATACCTCATGAGTTTAAATTTTTCACCCCTAGAACAGAAATCTTTGAGGGGTGTCTTGTAAGATTCTGTTCAAAACTGGTGTTATTAAACTAACTAACTGCTTGGCTTTGGGCATGAAGTTACCTGGTGCATCTGGAGGTCTCGGCCAAACATCTGCACTGCTAATTAATGCTGCCACACACAGTCAGGATTCCTGCTCCAATCTGTGTTTGCATCATCTGTCCTTACACACTGACTCTGGTTTGAATCTACTGGTGTCTAAATGCTGGCAGGAAACTCTTTACCTGTTTTAATTAATGGTTTTGTTTCATTTGGGGTTTTGTTTGGTGGTGGTTTTTGGGTGGTGGGGTTGGTTTGAGTCTCAAATTTTGTGCAAAACCATTGATTAGACTCTTGAGGCAGCCAAGCTGACAAGGAGTGACTATAAACCAGGTTAATTCAGTTGCTTTCAGTCCTGTGATTTCCTTTCCCAGTGATGTATTTACAATAGACTTCCCAGCACTCCAGGTACCCAGAGCAGAGCTGTTATCCCCCTGGTTCCCACCAAAGAGGGGTCAGTGTGGGGTGGTACTGATGTGCTCACCTCCCTGTGACAGCAACAGTCCCATCATCTGACTCGTAAAGTAGGAGCATCCTGCAGTGGCTGTGGGGTGGGAAGTGAAACCCCCATGGGAAACTGGTCTGTGTTGCTGCTGCCAAATTTGCCTGAGGAAGTAATTCCTGAGCACAAGAAGATGCCCTTTCTCATACACAGTCATCTCCTCTAAACTAGGCACTGACACGATGCTCTTGTCCTGCTCCTGCCTGCCAAAGCAGCAGGGCTCCCATGGAGTGGGCATGGAAAAAGGGCAGGCACCAGTGATACGTTGCACTGACCTTTTGTTTTACCAGGTTGACATGTGGGACAGCAACACCTACAGCCTAGAGCTGCAGTTCAGTGTCCGTGAGACCTCGTGCACCAAAGCTTCAGGGAGAGACCCAGCCACGTGTGCCTTCAAACTAGGGCCCTTTGTGGTGAGTACCCCTGGTGGGAAGGGGAGCAGGATGCTCTCAGGACGTGCTGAGACCCCAGGGGTGCTGAAGGATGAAAATAAAGCCAACCCCAAACAAACACAACCTATGGCACGGAGGGGGTGGTAAGTGGGGAGGGTCAGTGCTGGGAATCTCTTCTGCCTGCTCAGTGGGGAATACAGGAGCTGCTCTGAGCTGGGAAGAGGATGTGTGTCTTGGAGCAGCACCCAGTGAAGGTGCTTTGGGACATGCCTGAAAGGAAGGTTTGGCTGCTTTTTTTAAGATAAGAGGGTTGGAAAGCTGGTGATTGAGCTGATTTTTGTCTACCATGCATCCAGGCACCACGTAAAAGCTGATCTTCCTCCAGAGTGCAGATGAGCCAGTGCTCATCAGTCTTTTTCACATTTCCAACTCACTTTTCAGCCCAAAAGAAACGTGGCTTAGGCTCCTGATACAGCTCATGCTGCACCCTGATTCTTAGATGAAATAAATCCATCATCTTTGAACCTGGACCTCTCTGTCCACAGTTACTTTTGCCAAAGCATGGCCCCCATTGCAAGCTCCTGAGGGGCTGTGTCCTAAATGCTTTTGGGTCTTACCCAGTGTGTGTCACAGCTCTTGGAGTCCCTGTGTGCAATGATGCCATGCCTGGTGTCAGGCTTCCACAGAGCTGACCCCTGGTTCTTTGTGCTGCTCCAAGCTGAGCTCTTCTCACCTCTTTTTTTCCACTGTGAATGGCTCCTAAACTTACCTGGGGAAGTCTCTGGGGAAGAGGAGGGGTTCTGGGAAGGCACTGAAGGTGCTGTCCTCATAGCTTGGGTCATGCTGCTACCTCAGGAGGTACTTTACCCCATGAAGAGGGGGGTGAACATCTAAACCTCTTTGAGAATTGCTACTCCTGAGCTCAGCATCACGTGTGTGCACGTAGATGGGGGTGACATGGAACTGATGGTTGTTGCTGGGTTTTCTTTAGAGATGGAAGTGTTGGCTGCTGTGAAGTTCCTGCTGTGTGCTAGACACACACCAGCCCTCTCCTTTCCTTCTTGGGGTAATATGCCATGAAAGGTAGTGTGAGGGCCTTTGTTTTCCAAGCTTGGGAGCAGATTTTGCTGCAGCATCTGTCAAATCATAGAGGCATTTTCTCTAAGGGTGCTGGAGCTTCTGGAGCTGCCTTCAGCAGAGCCCTGGTTGGTGCTTGGTGGTGCCAGAGCCATGAAAAGGAGCTGGAGGTTTTCTTCAAGCAGGCTTGAGGCTTCATACAACTAATATTCAACTGGGGAGGAACAACTTGAGGGTGATCACATGCTGCTAAATTGTCTGGCCACGGTTTGCTTCGGGAAGGTGCGCGAACGTGAGAGCCTTCCTTTTGGGACTGGTTTTAGAAATCCCCGGGTGGGTTCCCTTCCCACCAGAGGGTTGTGTCCTGCAGGTTTTGCTGTGTGTGACTTGCTCTGCTCTCTTGCAGCCAGCTGGTCTCTGCAGCAGCCTTGTGCAGGTGTCCGGGGAGCGCGTCTCCAGGCTGAGCGTGCGGTGCCGCTGGGGCAGCCCCAGCTCCGAGTCCCTGAGCAGTGAGGAGGTGAGGAAGGGGCCCCTCAGTTCCAGAAGGGCAGGGAACTGCTGGGAAGAGCCCAGGGCAGAGGCACAGAGATGCTGGAGGGAGGGGAACATCTCCCTGCTGAGGAAAGGCTGAGGGAGCTGGGTCTGTTGGGCTTGGAGAAGAGGAGACTGAGGGGCCACCTCATCCATGGGCACAAATCTGTTCAGGGCAGTGTCAGGAGGACAGAGCCAGGCTTTGTGCAGTGATGTCCAGTGACAGGACAAGGGGCACTGGGTGCAAACTGGAGCACAGGAGGTTCCATGTGAATCTCAGGAAGAACTTGTTTGCTGTGAGAGTGCCAGAGCCCTGGGCCAGGCTGCCCAGAGAGGCTGTGGAGTCTCCTTCTCTGGAGACATTCCAACCCCCCTGGCCACGTTCTGTGTGATGTGCTCTGGGTGCCCCTGCTCTGGCAGGGGGGCTGGGCTGGGGGAGCTTTCCAGGTCCCTTCCAACCCCTGGGATTCTGGGATTCTATGATTCTCAGGAGAAGGCAGGAAGCTGGATGTGGCTTCAGACCCAGCTGTCCCCCACTGCTCTGCAGTGGGTTCTGTGCCTGAGGATTCTATTCAGGGACAAAGGCAGTTCCAGAAGCAAGATGCCAGGGGACATGGGCAGCTTTTATTTCTGGGAGTGGCTAAATGAACAACGTCAAGCAAATAGGGTTCTGTGTCACCTTCTGGTTTGAAATGCCAAATTAGCTTGTCATTACTTTGTTGTTGCTGGTCAGAATCTCTATTCAGAGCTCGTAGTGGGTGCAACACAGGAATTCTTGATTTGCAGAGCAGGAAGCACTGAAATAGGTGAGGGGGTCTTGGGATCTTCAGTCTGTCACCTGTAGGTTGAGCATAACCCTTGTTGAATTGGGCACTCAGGACAGAGACTAAATTTACAAGCAGAGATCTTCCTGCAAGT